AGCAGGAGTGTGCTGTGCTTGGTACATGGTGGTTGTGGGAGGACACAACGACGTGCATGTTTGACTAGGGAAGAGAAGAGTTTGGTGTGTTCCTCTTCTCTTTGCCACAGAACTATGAAGAGCTCCAGACTGCATTAGACAGCAGGGTCTAGTCCAGGAATTACTTTATGTTTCATTTTGAAATGATGTTGTGTATCCGAGGCAATATTTGTTATCCCTCATTCCACACTTCAGCAGAGACCCTGTAGCTTTTGTGTTGGGCAAGATGCGTGTAAAGCAGATCTGAGACCTGCAAGATTGTGAAGCAAAACTGTCACACTTGTTAATAGACCAAAGACCTACACCAGAGGTAGCACCCCCACTTTCCCCAGACCTACTCAGAGCCTTTGTTCTTCCCTGTCAGTGATGTCGAAGTTCAGCAGCATCAGGGCATGACTGCCACTCTTTGTTCTTTCATGTGCATTTCCAGTCCTACCTGCACACACCTGGCAGGCAGGTGGCAAATCCTCCTTCCAGCAGCACATCTCTTCCTGCTGCTGCCTGGGCTTTGCCCAAACAAGCCACACTGGCTACCACTCTGCCATGTGACACTGGCCTCAGTGACACCATCAAATGTAAAACAGTCCAATGGGCTTGCTTGGGTATCCACAGCAGTAAAGCTGTAAGAACAGACAACAGCTCTGTTTGGGTAAATTCCCTGGCGTCTAGTTGTGTCACACTGTCTGTTCCAAGAACCACCACAGAGCTGTTGTCTCTGAACCTGAACTGGAAGGGATTCTGCTTAATGCCATGTGTTTGGTACCTCTGAGCTTTGCTGCTGCAGTCTACAGAGAAGTAACATCCCCTTGTTTTGGGTTTTTTCTAGGCTCCAGTAAATGAGAGCCTCCCAGCAGAGGTCATGGCAAAATACAGCCCGTATCTCATCCCTGTCCACTGCGTTGCCAAGGTAAGTTGAAATACAATAAAGCGAAGTCGGGAAGCTGCAGGGGAAGACTGCTTTGAGCCTTTGTCTGAGTGCAGTGACTCTTTGCCTTTTTGCAGACAACTAGGGTGGTTCTCACTGGGGATGTCTCCCCCTTCAGAAGAGGGGTTTCTCAAAACCCCATTGGTGACAATTGGCAGTTAGCCCTGTCCTGACAGGGAGGGCTAAAAGCAGGGCTGGATAGCAAAGGGTATCCTTAAAAGTAGCTGTTTTGCTTCCAAGGGCTGTACTGGAGCTCTGAGCAGGGATGGCTGAAAAAAAGGACTCCAGGGAAGAGGTGTTTTACTTGGCAGTGGAAAGCAGCTGAGGAACAGCAAACTTACATTTTTAGCCAAAGATAGTGCGCTGGTACGACAGGAAGCTGTGGTGACTTCTGAATGCCTAGAGAGGTGCTTGCGTTTTTAAATAAAGAAATGCCCTTTTCCTGACTGCTGTGTGCTGGGAGGTGCTTCCTGTGTAGCTGCTGGTCAGACAGGGCTCACATGGCCTTTCCACCACTGGGACTGTCCTTGTGCTGTCAAGGTGAGGATCAGTGATGGCCAAAGGGAGGTCGTGATGATCAGAGTCTTGGTGAAAAGCAGATGCTGCTGAGGAAAAGGGCTGCAACAGGTAGAGTTTGGGTGATGGTCATCGTTTGTTCTTCCTTCTCCTGCCTTCCTAGAGAGAGGAAGATGAAGACAAAGTAGGCACAGTGGAGTACTATGGGATGGGTGGCTACCCTGGCTTTGGCCTGCAGTACTACCCCTACTACGGGAAGCTCCTGCAGCCGCGGTACCTGCAGCCCCTGGTGGCAGTGCAGTTCACCAACCTGACCTACAACACGGAGGTGCGTGTGGAATGCAGGGCCTACGGGCAGAACATCGAGTACAGCGACAAAGACCGCTTCCAGGGACGCTTTGATATTAAATTTGACATAAAAAGCAGCTGATTGTGAGCACAACTCTCTTACCCCCCTCCCCTCCTCCTCCTCTTCCTCCTAGCCATGAAAAAAGGTTAAAAAAAAAAAAGAACAAAAATTAAAACCTACTAGTCTTGAACAAACTGTCATACGTATGGGACCTACACGTAATCTATATGCTTTACACTAGCTTCCTGCATTTACTAGGTTAGAATGTAAACAAAAGTGTAGCAATAGCGACAAATATTTATTCTACTGTAAATGACAAAAGAAGACAAAAATTGAGCCTTGGGACATGCCCATTTTTACTGTAAATTATGATTCCATAACTGACTTGTAGTAAGCAGTGTTTCTGGCCCCTAAGTATTGCTGCCTTGTGTATTTTATTTAGTGTACAGTACTATAGGTGCATACTCTGGTCATTTTTCAAGCCATGTATTGTATCTGTTTTCTACTTCTTGTGAGCAAAGACTTTTGCTGTCCAAGGTGTAAATACTCCATGGGACTAGAACTGGCATGATACTTCTCATTATGTTGTTCCTTTTCAAAGAAAGGCCCACCTGTGAGACTCTTTATTTAACAGCACTCCATACGGCCTCTGATTTTCTGTGGTGTTAGGGTATTTTATTTGGAGGGGTGGCAGGGGAAACTAACTTAAGTTCAAGAGAATAGATGATTGTGTACTGTGCTTTGTAGCGAATGCTGTCCCTCTCTCCACCTTTTCCCTCATCCTCCAGTATGTTGTGTGAGAGACTGGGTCAGACTATCACTCTACTCAGTGATAGGTGTAACTCTTTGCTTTGTATATTTTTTCTTTTCCTTTTTCTTTTTCTTTTTCTTTTTTCTTTTTTTCCTGCTGGAGGCATCGCACACTGTGGGCTAATGTCTTTTATTGAATGTTTTTAACCATTTTCATGGTGGAAGAATTTTATATTTATGCAGTTGTACAATTTTATTTTTTCTGCAAGAAAGTGTAATGTATGAAAATAAACCAAAGTCACATGTTTGAAAATAAATCTTTATTTTAAACTTTATAAAAGCAATGCAGTACCCCATAGAATGGTGTTAAATGTTGTCTAAAGTGCAAAACTCTATGTTCTAACATGTAATAATAGCCAGGAGTACAGTGCTCTTGTTGATCTTGTATTTCAGTCAGGTTGAAACATTGGACAAATAAATGAATGAACACACTGTTCTGTGTGCACGTCCTTTGCATCGGGTGAGGATGGAGGCTGCTAGCTGTCCAGAATCTTGAAAAAGTACTGCACCTGTTTCAGAAAGAGAGTACATCTTTATTGTCCCCAGGAGTGCTCAGCTGAAGGTAGCCTTTTTCTTTTTCTTTTTTCTTTTTTTCCTGCTGGAGGCATCGCACACTGTGGTGCTAATGTCTTTATTGAATGTTTTTAACCATTTTCATGGTGGAAGAATTTTATATTTATGCAGTTGTACAATTTTATTTTTTCTGCAAGAAAGTGTAATGTATGAAAATAAACCAAAGTCACATGTTTGAAAATAAATCTTTATTTTAAACTTTATAAAAGCAATGCAGTACCCCATAGAATGGTGTTAAATGTTGTCTAAAGTGCAAAACTCTATGTTCTAACATGTAATAATAGCCAGGAGTACAGTGCTCTTGTTGATCTTGTATTTCAGTCAGGTTGAAACATTGGACAAATAAATGAATGAACACACTGTTCTGTGTGCACGTCCTTTGCATCGGGTGAGGATGGAGGCTGCTAGCTGTCCAGAATCTTGAAAAAGTACTGCACCTGTTTCAGAAAGAGAGTACATCTTTATTGTCCCCAGGAGTGCTCAGCTGAAGGTAGCTGCAACATGCATTGGGGGGAGTTTAAGGAAACTGCTGCTCCCAGCTGTGTGACACCTCAGCTCTAGGCCAGTATGGTTTGGTGTTACATGTTTCCCCTCTATGTGAGCTGTGTTAGAGGTGGCTGTGGCACACAGGTGCCTGTGATCACACCAGTCAGGAACCCAAGACGTCTTCAATGTATTCACCAGTACTGCAACTGCTCTACCTCTGGAGGCACAGGCCATGTGTGCTAGTAGTAACTACAGTTAAAAAAGGTTTAACCTTAGTGAGGGCTAAAGCACCTACCAGCAGTATGTGTTGCAGGGCCGGAAGGGCACACTGAAGTCACATGCAGAAGAAAAAAAGTTTCCCCACCAGCAACTCGTTCTGTGTTGCCACTGGGTCAATAGCTTGGTGCTGAGAACAGGCTGTGCCTGGCAGGGCTGTTGTCAGATGTGACAAAATGTGGCAGCTGGCTTCCTGCAGGAGTCAAGATCACTTTATGCTGCATGACACATGGAGAGTTTCTCCATGTAAAGCGACAAAACATTACTGTCCTGGAGCAAGCTGCTTGATAAAGCCTTCCTAATCAGAAGGCATGACAATGGAAAAGCAAGCTGTGAAACTTTTTGCCATCTGCTAGAAGGAAAAGCAGCACTACAGTAGGCTATGACCATGAGCTTACATGTTTGGCTGTTCCACGCTATTCCCAAGGAGCAGGAGCTAGTGGAACCTCAACTTCAGCTGTTCCCATGTGCTGCTCTTCATAGTGCAGCAAGGATTTAACAAAGACACCATAATTAAAGAACTAAAACACTCTCTGAAAAAGTGCCACCTGCACAGGAGCTGTGATAAAGCTAAGCCAGTTTGGCTTCCAGCAATTGGTGGGTGTACAGCTGCTACCATTGGGGTGGGAGTGTGTGTGAGTGCATGGCTGAAGGTTTGGTAGGATCAACTGCCCCTACCATTCAATTCTTAGGTGCACAGCCTGTGAGAGGTTCAAAAAAACCACAACAAAAAAAACCCAATACCCACCACACGAAAAAACACTGCCCACTCCCCCCACCCCAACTAGCAGTGTGCCCAGGTGGCCAAGAAGGCCAACAGCATCCTAGTTTATACCAGAAATAGTGTGGCCAGCAGGAGAAGGGAAGTGATTGTTTCCCCACCCTGTCCCCCCATATTTGGCACTGGTGAGGCTGCACCTCAAACACTGTTGAGTTCTGGGCCCCCTCATGACAAGAACACTGAGGTGCTGGAGTGTGGCCAAATAAAGGCAACAGAGCTAGTGACAGGTCTGGAGCACATCTTACAAGGCACATCAGAGGAAAAGTGGGGTTGTTTAGCCTGGAGAAAAGGAGGCTGAAGGGAGACCTCATCACTCTACAACTACCTGAAAGGGGATTGTAGTGAGGGGCGGGGGGGGGAGGGGGCGGTGTTGGTGACAAGTAACAAGTGATAGGACAAGAGGAAATGGCCTCAGGTTGTGCCAGGGGAAGTTTGGATATTAAGAAATGTTACTTAAAGAGTTGTCAGGGCACTGGAAGAGGCTGCCCAGGTAAGTGGTGGAGTCACCATCCCTGGAGGTATTTAAAAGATGTGCAGATGCGGTACTGAGTGACACGGCTTAGTGGTGGACTTGGTAGTGCTGGCTTAACAGTTGGACTTGATGATTTTAAAGGTCTGCTCCAACTTAAATGATGCTATGATTTATAAAAAAATCTCAACTCATGCTTAGATAATCTATCTCCTTGAATTTACTATATGAGCACAAAGTCCAAGCATGAATTAGTAATAAAGATACTGGCTTACTCCAGGGGGTTGGAACAAATATTGTAGAAAGTTTATGGTGCCTGCATTGGCTTCAGTGAGCAGGTGGCAAAGGGGGCCCATATAATGTACTCTTAGAAATAGCATTATGAAATAAAGCAAAAAAAAACACCTCTTCCCTGCCCCCAATCACTTTCTAGTACTTAATCAGTGAAAGCAGGGTGGCCTGCTCTGATCACTAATTAACTAGGCAGTAACACAGTAGGTACTGCAGCTTGCACACCCTGCAACCACCCACCAAGAAGACCCAACTAGCCACAGGCCTCATGACAACCCTTCTACCAAAGAGCTGCACCTCACCACCACAACCCAAAAACTGCCCACAACACGTGGCCAGACATGCCTCCATCCCCATTAGAAAGCTGCTGTAATTTGTCAAACCTAGTGGAGATCCAGCATTGAACAGCTACAGGCTGTTAAAAACCAACTCAACCAACCCCAAACCCCCCACCCAAGACAAGCTGGTGCAGCCTTCAGGCCAGCCGGCTCTCTCAGTGGCATCAGTACTTTCGGTACACAACAGCACTGATGTTAAAGTGACCTTTCACAACTTGCTGTCGTAAGTGGCTGGTCAAAAGCTGGGGTGGGGAGGGGGGGCAGTATGTGACATTTCATCAACCCAATTTAAAATTAGCATTGCTTTCAGGATGTGGGTTTTTTTTAGTCTGTGCTGTATTGCCTATGCAAAAGCTATTCTCCTCAGGAAGGAATTGCTCTCCCTACTGCCTAATAGGACATCACATTATAAACTGCCAGTTTGAACATGTTGTTCTTTCTAGCAGATTGGCTCAACATCATTAAGTTTAACTGTAACCATTACAGGGAATTTTATCTCTCTTCTTGCTGATACAGGACACCTGCATGTCAGAGTTAGAGATACAGAAAAATAGTAATAAAATAAAAAGCAGAAAGAGACAGACAGATGGACACACACACTTAAGGCCAACACCCTTTAAGGCTGTATCTACATGAGCATTTGCACTAACACACACCAGCTACCAGTTTTACAGCTCTGCGTGTTGGCACTTGTGGACTTCTCTTCCCAGTTTGGCTGAGGGCAGCTGGCCAGCACTGGCCAGGCATGACCCTTGGCATGCACAGGGAGCTGTGCAGGAGCCAGGAGCAAGGCCCAGTGCCATGGAGTCTGCTCCTTTGCAGGTATGACCTCTGGGTCCAGCCTCAGCCTGGGGCACTGACACACCTGCTGCCACCACAGGCCCCATGTCCCTGAGATGGGGCAGGTTTAATAGAGCCACGTCAACTCCCACCTCCTCTGGTGCTACCTCAGTCAGAGGTGCATGGCCTCCATGGGGGTTTGGGAATGACCCACCCCTGCAGCACATCCTGATGCAGGTGAACACTGTCCTCACCCAACTCCTGCTCACTTGCTATTAGCAACAGAAAACACCATGCTATTCTAATCCTTAAAAGCCCCCGATTTTGTGCAACCGATTTCCCCAGGCCAGGCTGAACAATCTCAGCTTCCTTACAACTGACAGAAAACATCTTTCTCCTCAATTAATTTATTTTGGATTGTTGAATATCCACACAGACTGTACTGGCAAGGCTCAGACAGCAGAACAAGGACACTGCATATTGTATAACATGCAAAACTAGATGCCAGTATGTTCTCTTCATATGTAATTATCTTTATGTGGGTCAGCTGCCACCCAGCTCCCAGTAAAACCAGTTAAGACCTGGCATGCCTGTGGTACACAGAAAGGATCCTTCTCTCCAAGAACCTCACCCTCAGGAGCATGGCAGTGCTGGAGAAGTTAACACCAGCCAGCACAGTGATTTGCAGAAGAACCACGACCAATTCAACTCTACCAAAGGATCTGAGGTGCTCCCATCTTATAAGGTCCTAGCTGTAGACAGCTTGAAGAACGCAATGCTAAAAGCACCAAATCTTTTTTCAAGGGGAACCAAGACTTGCAGGTACTCGCACCAAGCATCCAGATAGTGTCAGGTATTCCAAAGCACTGTGTTTTAGGGAATATAGTTACTCTCTTCCAAGGGCCTAAGTATAGTATAAACTACAGAAAAGGGGAGCTGTGCCTGTGCAAACATCTCAGCAAATCTCACATTTGACCTAGGGAAAAGTCACTTCTCTGAGCCAAGCACACCTCTGGTCTCTTTACAGGATCCAAAGGTGGCAGAGGACAAACCTACACCAGGAAACTGACCTGAAACCAACCAATCATATTTCACAGGTGCCACCCAAATGCCCTTCAAATTATGCTAACATGTTCAAGTGTGCTCACTCCTTCCCAGGGATGAAACAGGATTAAATTTAACGCAAATGCTCTCATCACAGATCCCAGGAACCATCTACCTGCTTAATAGTATGCAGCTATACCTCCTGTAGCTCCTGTTCAGGGACAAATAATAATTCTCAGGAAGCAGTAAAGGGTGAGTAACTGTGACCTTCTGGGTCTGAACCTATGATCTGCTTTGCTGAGGAGGAGCTGAGAGCTGCTTCATTTCCATGAAGTTTTGCTTCAGTCACACACACTCTCTGCAAAACCCACATTAACGAAGTTGGCTGCTCCCTCTGGGCACTTCCATGCATTGCCGCAAAGTTTCAGGAGCTAATTCAGCAGGCAATAACAAAATCCAGCCTAATCCTCTGTCTCAGAGCAAGCTATTATCATTTGAACAACGTGTGCCCTAAGAGCATGGAGAGGAAAAAAAAAAAAAGGGAAGCCACTGGAGCGAGGAAGCCAGGATTCCGAAGAAGAGTAAAAGATCTTGGTAATAGACCCAGCACAGGCACAAAGTGTCCTGAAGACTTCAAGTGTAAGAATTACAGACAGCTACAATGTCATGTACAATGTAATGCTGGTGAGAGGCCACGGAGCAGCTCTGGAGTCAGAGCTTTTGTCTATGTAAAGACAAACCAAGGTACACCTTGAACGATGCCAGCACTTCATACAGGCAGCATTCCTTTACATTTCACTTCAGAGGAAACCCCAGTACTGAAAGGATACCCCAGTGTTCAGGGTCCATTTCCCCTGTTCCCTTGGACTAGCAGTATGTGGTAAGAGATCCTGTTAGTAACATTCATGGCAGAGGGAGACATACTAGCAGGAAATACACTGAGATCACAGATTCACTTCTCATCTAACACCA